AACCACCATTGTGTCAAGAGCCCCAGAGCACTGGTGTGGAATGTGCCTTTTTCTAAATTGGATTCCGGCAATCTATTATGGGAAGTAGTGTATATCAGAGCCAGAAGGTCTCTTAGAGACCACCGTGTCCCAGCTCCTTGCTGTATACGATAAACTATTCAGGGGATATGCATGTGGAGTTGTTTTATCAATGGAATAAATGTGAGTTATTCCAGCCACTTAAACCAGTTTGTGACCAGTGGTAGATATTACAAGTGAATGGGTGGGAGTTACAAAAACCATCCAGGGCTATCAAATCAAGCAAAGCTCCCAAGTGCTTACATGAGATTGACCTCTTCTCTCTAGTCAAAGTGAGGCACATATTATCCAAATATAAAGCCAGCTGAAAAGGATATAAAGTCAAAGTGAGGCACATGTTAAACAAAGGACAACTGGGTTGAATACTTCTAGAAAGAAATAGAAAGTAAAAAAGAAGGAAAGATGGTCCTCTCTGAGTGCTGCACAGAGAGACACAGTGCACTGAAAAGTGCCTAGTGCATCTCTGTGCTTTGCTTTGCAATATGGCATGTCTCTTTTGTGGCAGTAGGGCCACTTGATAATTATATTTTGTTCCAGTGATTTCTACAGGGGTTTGGCATCCTCTGAACATATGCCAGCTGCCCCCTGACTTGCCACTTAGAATTCATCCAGGCCAGGAGACAAGGACAGGACTGTGCCCTCTGAAGCAGACGGCCTTGAATTAAATTCAGCCTCCAGGATGTACTACTGATTGACATTGGGCAGGTCATTTAACATGTCAGATCTTTACTAGACAAAGATCTCATCTGCAAAATGGGTATATTATCTTCCCCATAAGATTGTTGTGAAGGTTAAATACAATAACATGCATATGGTTCCTAGTTTGTTGTCAGACACATCAGTAATTAGTGAGTTACCCATCGTGGTGTTAGAGGGAATGGTTTAGTGTTGACTATATCAAGTATAATTGTTCTGTGCTTCTGAAATTAGGAGGGACTCAGGGTACTTGAAGAAAAGCCAAGGGGAGAAAGGTAGACATGATTATGGGAAGAAAGTACTATGGACAGAGACATTTTAGGGCAGACTAGGAAAACCAAAGCTGTTCAGATCTCAGTTGTGCTGAGAACTGGATAAGAAAAAAGCTCCAACTACTGAATGAGGGATTTGGGTTAGATTTCCTGGCAGTGGAATATATTAAATGTACTAGACAACAGTCTTTTCTCATCTTCTGGGTGTGTGGTCAGCCAACCCTGGAGCCAAAGAGGCGATGAGATGCCCAGGATGCAGCCCGTGAGTTTTGAGCTCTGAGAACTGAGAGCAGCAAGTGGAGGATCCAGCTGCCCCTAAAAGCTGCTTTTTGCAAAGGTTCTTGGACACATTCGATTCACGGAACTGTCTTCTGCTAACACCAGCACTTGACAGGGGAGCAACTCGGGTTTTCAGCAGTCCTGGCCTTTCGTCTTGCATGAGACAATTGAGGTGTTTTTTCACTGGCCCTTTAAAGCAAAGGTTTTTGACACTGTCACTACCTGATATCCCCCTGCTGACCAAATTTTTCTGGAAGCCCATGAGCCCACCCTCAAGCCACAGCTCTGAGAGCCGAAAAAGAGAGACTGTCCTTAGCCAGATCAGATGGGGCCGCAGGAGAAGCTCTTCCTGAATCCAGGTGGACACGAGCTTTGGCATCTGGGTTCTGAGTTTGATCAGGTATTAGGTCCAGACTCAGCCCTGAGAATCAGGGTGAATAAGATAAGCATCATCAGGCTGGACAGGCTCTCAAGGGAAATCCGCCTCTATGGTAAAAGAAAGGGCATCCTGTGACATGCTAGGAAATTGTCATTTTCCACCATTTAGAGTCTTGTAGCATCTCATATAGCAATCACCTGTGTCTCAGAGATTCTTCCTGGGGCTACTTCTCCAGGAAAGAAATCAGCCACCCTGCCCTGGGGGCAGCGGCTCCCGAAGCCACCAGTTGGATTATCCTTCGTAAATTGTCATGTAGGTCCCTCCTGCTGCAGCTGACCACATCTCTTCACAGCCGGCCCTTTGGGTCCAGCCTCCTGTCCGTAATGATGTCATGTGTCACCCCAACTCCTCTTCAAGCTTTCCGTGGCCTTAAGAATCCAGTTGAGAACCCTTTGGAGCCTCTTAGTTCCCAACCCAGCTGCTTCTTTTTCAGCTTGGGCCTGAGTTTATTTAATAGCCACCAAGGAGAGATGAAATCTTATCTAAATTGTAATAACCATGTATGGTGCCAGGTGGATACTAGACGAATCAGGGAGATCACTTTGTAAATTATATAAATGTCTAACCACTGCGCTGTACACCTGAGACTAATATTGAATGTCAACTCTAATTGATAAATGAAAATTTAAAATAATCTTATCTGAGACATTTAAAACAATATTTGAGGAAAACATAAGAGAAGAGTTTCACTACCGTAGCTCATTAAAACAAAAATATCTGTCTCCTCCACCTCTCTTGCCCTTGGATTTTGGTTTTCTTTGCTCTGAGCAAGAAAGATATTCCCAAAGCTGACTGTCAGAAGTAGGGACAAGTGGGATACCCCTCTTTAAAGAGAGGCAATATAGAATAGATGTTGGACACAAGCTTTGGCGCTAAATGGTCCAGAATCCAAACCCTCACTGCATGCGACCCTGGCAAGCCTGTTGACTTCACTAAGCCTCTGTTTCCTCGACTGCAAATGACGGGGATACCTCCAGGTTTGCTGTGAGGATTCAACATGATGATGTAGATAAAGTTGCTAGCACAGTGCATGGCCCATCATGAATGCTCACCAAATGGTGGCTCCAGTTATTACCTCTGACTTCTAAGGTGATCTTCCCTATACTTTTGAGTTTTGGCTTGTTTCCCAGTAGCTTCTCTCCTTTTGGGATAATTCTGTGGTTTACTAGCCCACATCCGACACATGAAATACTGCTATAAACTTTTTATAGTCACAGCTGCAACATGTGAAGGCACAACAGCAGGACTCTGCTCACCTCTCCTCCATCCCATACTTATCGCTTTGCTGGTCACGTGTGCTGCATGCCATGGTGTGAATTAAATGTCCACAGGGTCACAGATTGGTTTCTGCAGATTGTGTTCCTGCGGGAAGGAGTATGCCAACTGAGTTGGGACCTATTTCACATAATCCTAGGGTTGCTGGCTCTCGACAGATTCACCAGCCTGACGCCAGAGCTTTCTGCCCGAAATCTCCTTCTCCTTATGGTGCCCTTGACCTTGTGTTGTCTGGCTGTTTGGGTGATTCCAAGATGATGGGTGGGACGAAGCTGCTGCTTTGGTATCAGGCTTCCCTCGTACTGAGAGCTTTATGCTATAAGAGTTTATAGATATAGATGGTAACCAATTAACCACATAATGGATTAACCCCTTCAGTAGCCGCTGTTGTATGTGTGTGTGTTGGTGGGACAGATGAGGACATCTACAGAGGGAGAAGTAACGTGGGGGGTAAATCGTTGCCTTCCTTTTGTTCTCCCCTTGAATTCATTCATCCCACATTTATTGAACACCTCTTATGTGCCATGTGTTGTGCCAGCAGCCTAACTCCCTTTGCAAGTATTTCAACATTCCTTCCCCTGACAAAAGAATAAAATAGATGCGAACTCTATGGAATGCACTCCCCCAATGACAAATGGAAAGAAGCTGAGTGCCCCTAGGACAGGACCCCATTGATCCAGCCAGGGACCAGCTAGTCCAACCAGCTCCTTTAGGAGACACCAGTGTCACAGAGACAGAGTTCCTCCTGTCGCTCTGTCCTCGCTCTGCCAGCAGCCATTAACGGCCCAGAAAAATGCCTTTGTTCTCACCGAGGGCGTCTCTGAGGGCTCCCAGCTCCTGGCAGCTCAGCTTTCCTTCCACCTCTCATCTCTCCAGCTGAGTTGAAGACCCATTACGCCCATGGATGGGCTCAGCTTACGTGTTTAACTCTTCGATCGTAACAATTGTATGCCTTTAGGTAGGGGTGTCTACCAGTCTCCCTGTGCTTTGGGCTCTTGATTGGAAACTTCACGTTCTTCTCCCTTCCATTGCATCCATTTCCATAAAACTATACAAAGAGCTCTGAGGGAGCAAGCCATGAGGCTCAGCTGGGTGGGCTCCACTCTGCGGTGGCGTGCCCAGACTTGCATGTCCCCTTCCACTGGGAAACAGCCGCCCTGACAGTGTCCATCTCTGCGGGCCACCTGGCTTCAAAACCTGTGTGCATGTCATTAACTTCGGATCCTGGCTGCTCCAGCCTAGTTGAATTGCAGATCACCTCCTCCATCCTGCCTCTCACCCTCCCCCAGTCTCTCGCATCCAATTAACACCCTCCTCCCCAGCCCCTTCCAACATCATTAGTGAAGGAGCAGAATGGTCTTGGCCCCAGAGTGATTTCCTGTCATCTCTGCTCATTAATTCTCTCTGTGTCTTTGCTAAACCGTTAATAATGCTCCCCGTATCTCTGACTGCTCATCTGGGTCTATGTGGCTTCATCTCAGCTCCTTGTCTTCAGGGTCCCCAAGAGCAGGTTGTCTGTCCTGTGGCCTCAATATGTGCCTTCTCCTTCTTCCACTGCTGCTGAGATGGCCTCCTTAGGGGTCACGGAATTGGCCTCTGGGGTCCCAAAGCACATGCTCAGGAAGTAAACGACTCACGGCTCAGGCAGCCCCCTCCCGTTCCAGGGAAGGAGAGGTTTCCTGAACGATGAGGGAAGCTGGGCTCCTCTTGGCAGATCCTTTCGGAACTTAAAGCTGCTCACACACATGTGCCGGTGGGGCCGCGGGGCCCCGCGCTTCCTAACACTCTCTTAATGATGCCTGGCCCTTGGGGTGGTTTCAGCCGGGAGGGGCCAGGGCTCGGAGCCTCTGAGGGTAAGCGGGGAAGCAGAGGTGTCATGATGTTTCTTTCTAGCCCGACAGCTTTGGCCACCTGGGTCGGCCCCCTGCGCAGGAGGCTCACGCCTGCTTGTTCTATTTCAGCCCGAGGAGTTGCAGAAAGAACCCCCAGCTTCATGTATCCCCAGGGCACTGCGAGCAGTCAGATGGTGCTACGTGGCATGGACCTACTGCTGGAGTGCATCGCCTCTGGGGTGTAGGTACCATTTTATCCCTACTTCTGGCCACTCCGCAAGAGGCTGGTGAGGGAGTTTGTGGGTATGCTCTGTTCTTGCCACATTTGGGGGTGCAGGAAGAAGCAGACAGACCTTAGTGAGGATTTAAATCATAGTCATCTCCATCCCAGTCATCTGGCCGTCTCTCTCAGATAATGAGGAAAGGAGATGGGTGGGCATCCTTTACGTGTGTTAGAATCTCGTGCGACCTTAGATAAGTCCTTCACATACTCTGCGGCCGAGCAACCCCTCTGTATAGGAGAGATCAGCTCTCAGAGGACCAAAAACACTTCCAGGGCACCTGGGTGTGCCAGGCTCCATAGAAGAACAGCAGGGCCTCAGTTTCGATGTTTCTGTTCCCTGCTTTGTCCCTCTCCTAGCCCAACACCAGACATCGCATGGTACAAGAAAGGTGGGGACCTCCCATCTGACAAGGCCAAGTTTGAGAACTTTAACAAGGCTCTGCGTATCACCAACATCTCCGAGGAAGACTCTGGGGAGTATTTCTGCCTGGCCTCCAACAAGATGGGCAGCATCCGGCACACGATCTCGGTGAGAGTAAAGGGTACGTTGTGTGTATTTCTCATTATGATGATTTTGCCAGCCCTAAACGCCATGACCACTCTTTCTTCTGAGGGTGGTTGGGGGCAGGGTGAGTGGGAAAAACTTCCAACACATTGGTTAGTGGCAACAGTGACCTGCCAGGGATGATCACTCCCTGGATGTGAGTGTGTGTGTTTGAGTGGTGGGCCTTAAGGGAAGAAGATCCACCCAGAACATCAGCCAACTCTCCTTGGTGCCCGGGGCTCCCTCAGCAGATGAATTTCATGATGTTTTAATTAGACCCAGAGCCTTCTCTTCTTTCATTTTGCATTCCTGTTCATAGTGTGTCGTCTTAGCCCTGTGCTGTCTGTGTACTGTGCTTGGTTCTTTTTAAAAGTGGGGAGTCATCAAGCCCAAATTTTTTTAAAAAAATCACTTCCCTCCCCCAAAAGCATAGCTGGCCCAATTGAGCTATTGTAAGCAATAAAACGCCTGCCTTTATGAGTCTCAGCCATGGATGGTGGGTACACCAGTCACTTCTCTTCCCAGGGCTGAATGGATGATTGGAATGATGAGGTCTGATCTCATAGTGCAAGAACTTTCTTAGCACACACAGTTGACCTTATAGCCTTGGTTTCAGCACTGCCCATGAACCAGGGGTTCTTAATCTTTGGGGGGGGGCATCAAGATCTTTGAGAATCTGATCCAAAGAACCCTCTTCTCAGAAAAATCCACCTATCCACATGGTCACAGACTTTTCCAAATAATTGAAAGAGGTGGCCAGCTAAGAGCTTCTAACCAAAGTGCAATGCCTAAGAGAATGAGTATAATATTAGGCCAGTATTAGATCTGAAAAGGTCTGATCTTGCAGCAGCAGCAACAAATCCAGAGGAGCCAGCATAGTGCCCACCCGACCACCTTCCTTGGCTCAGGCCCTTACATCATGAACACCTATGGACATCTAAAAACATTCATTGCCCAGCCTCCCTTGAGGATTCTGATTCAGCAGGTCTGGGATGGGCGCTGGCATCCATGTTTGTTAAAAGTTCTTCAGAGGGAGAAAAAAAATGGTGTAGATGATAGAGGCTCTGTTCATCCCTCTGGCAACCAAATCAAAGTTGTGACGGAAACAAGGAGCAACAGCAAGGAAAAATCACCTGGGATCTAGATGAACAAGCTATACAACTAGGGAGAAATCCAAGAAATTACCCTGCAATGGGAGGAGGTAGGATGGAGTGAGAATGTGAGGCTGCCCGGTCTCGAGTGGCTGAGTGAGACGGAGGCTGCAGCAGCAGCAGATGCCTCTTGAAGGGGCCGTGTCCTTGAGCAGATTTTCATGGTAACAGACCTGCTCGCTCTGAGCACCAGTGCCAATTCAGCTGCATACAGTGGGCACCAGGGACTTACAGGGAGATATTGTTGGAGTGAGGGCCGAGGCAGGACTCGCTATATACAGAAGTGCTGGTGGTATCTGTTGTTCCCTGTTGAGCCCTTCCCCTCTCCCAGTGCACAGACACGGCCCTCCACAGCCGTGTCGTCATCAAACTGGATAACGGAAATCTCTGCCCAGAGGATTCCCTGAAATCCCACCTCCCCCAACTTGTGGCCCCACCCAAGCCACATCTAGGTGTATCCTCAGAGAGTCAGGTGCTCCTTGCTGAGCAGCGCCTAGACTCACCCTGGAGGCAGCTGGCCTCGGTTTCTGGTGTGGCCTTTTGAGGCAACTATAAGCACAGCATCTGTGGATTGCTTGCTGAATCTTAACAGGTGTTCCCAGAGGGTCAGACGCTGGGGCTAAATTTGGCCTGCAGCTGAATGCCTCTCAGGACTGTGCCACTGGACACCTACAACACAAAACCAAGCTAATAAGACCTGGAGACTTAGGAACTTTGCTTAGTACATAGAAACAGACAAGGAAAGAAACAGCCAAAATGGGAAGACAAAGAAGCAGAAACAATACAGGAGAGAACAGAACAGAGATCCAGATAGAATGGAGTCAAATAATCTAACAGATGCAGAGTTCAAAACACTGGTTATAAAAATGCTCAGTGAACTTTTGGGAGGTGTAGATAAATTCAGTGAGAACTTCATAAAAAGAAACATAAAAATGGAAATGGAAATTATAAAAGGGAACCAATCTGAAATGAAGAACACATTATCTGAGATGAGAAGGATATTAAATGGAATAAACAAAGGAATAAACAATGTGAATAAAGAAAAGGATCAAATTCCCTATCTAGAGTATGGGAAAGCCAAGGACACAAAATCACAATGGCAAGAGATGAGATGCGAAGACTATAAAAATAATTTTAGGAGCATATGGAACACTACTAAGGGTCCAAATATCCGTCTGATCGGTATAACTGAAGAAAATCAAGATATTGAGCAGCTGTTTGAAGAAATAATGTTGGAAAACTTCTCTAACCTGGTGAAGGAAATGGACATAAAACCCCAGGAAGCTCAGATAATTCCCAAAATCAGGGATCCAAAGAGGTCCATACCAAGACTCATCATAATGAAAATGCCAAAGGTTAAATACAAAGAAAGAATTTTAAAAGCAGCAAGAGAAAAACAGATAGTTTTTTATAAGAGAAAACCCATAAGACTGGCAGCTGATTTCTCAAAAGAAACTATGAAGGACAGAAGGGCTTGGCACAAAATATTAGACAGGATGAAGACCCGGGATCTACAACCAAGGATACTTTATCCAGCAAAGCTATCATTTAGAGTGGAAGGACAGATAAAGAGCTTCCCAGACAAAAATAAGCTGAAGGAATTTATCACCACCAAGCCAGTATTACAGGAAATGTTGGAGAGACTTCTTTAAGAAAAAAAAAAAAAACATATATCAAAAACAGGAATAAAGAATGGGAACAACTACATTCCTATCAATAATACCTCAAATGGAAAAGAATTAAGTGCTCCAACTAAAAGATAGAGTGGATAAATGGAAAGGAAAACAAGACCCCTACATATGCTGCCTACAAGAGACTCACTTCAGATTAAAAGACACACACAGACTAAAAGGAAGAGGATGGAAATAGATATTGCTTTGATGGACCTAGAAGATACTTAAGTCAGACAGAGAAAGATAAACACTATATGATTTCACTTGTATATGGAATCTAAGGAATAAAAAGAACGAACTAATCAAAAACAGACTCACAAATATAGTGGACAATTTGGTGATGGACAAAGGGAAGGGGGGTAGGGGACTGGAGAATGGGGAGAAGGGTTAAAGAAGTACAAATTAGTAGCTGATGGGTGGTCACGGGGATGGGGAGCATGGCATAGGGAATGCAGTTACATTAATATGTTGGCTAGGTGGAGGGTCAGGGGAGGGAGGGAGCAATTGGGATCATTTTATGAACTATATAAATGTCTAACCAATGTACTGTGTACTCGAAACTAATTAAAATAAATAATATTTTTTTAAATGTTCTCCAGAGAACTCTAATGAGCAGCCCCAGTTTAGAGCTATTGTTCTGTGAACTTGAAATAGACAGGTCAGCATCTGTGGTGTCAAGCTGGCCACAGGCAGGCTGGACTGAGTCATCCCATGCGGATGAGCCCTGGGCAAGTGGTAAGAGCCTGGGGTTGGCACTCAGGGGCTCCCTCGTCCTAGAGGAAGTCCGTCTGGTTCCTTCCGCCTGCGCCATGCCATCTAACTCCCCTCTCTGTGCTGTCCTTGCCTTCTAGCTGCTCCCTACTGGCTGGATGAACCCCAGAACCTTATCCTGGCTCCTGGTGAGGACGGGAGACTGGTGTGTCGAGCCAATGGGAACCCCAAGCCCACGGTCCAGTGGATGGTGAATGGGGAACCTTTGCAATGTGAGTAATGAGCCATCTGACTCTGATCTCTGTCCCATCAAAGGCTCCCCGTCCCTGTGGGCAGCCCTAGTTGTTCCAGAAGTAAGGGAGCAGCCATCTCTTTGGACATCTGAAGAAGGAGGAAATTTGCCTCATGTCTGTGTGAGAGAATAAGAGTCTGTGGTTATTTTCCCACGGTTATGGGATTTCTCCTCCCTTGGGATTTTCATAAAACTCTGCTTTGTGCCCTTAACAACTACAGAGCCCAGTTCAAGTTCCGGGGTCTGCACCTGCATCCCCTGACAGTTTGGGCTCCGAGTGATGTCTGGAGCTTGGAGGATAGAGGAGCGCTCAGGAACCCATTCATTCCCGTTGGTTGCCTGGGTCCCGCGCTCTGCTCAGGGCAAAACGAGAGACGAGGTTATGCGACAATATGAATGATATGGTTGGATGTGAGGAAGAACGTCCCCATGAGAACAGACGTGCACAGGTGCACTTATTCAGTGTACAGACTTTGGGGAGATTTAGTCCTACCCAGATGGCTGGAGTAGGTGAGTCCAAGGCCCCTTCCAGCCAGGGGTCTCGGTCAAGTTTTACATCATATTCTCTCCAGTTGCATTTACTTTTTTAAATGTCCTGTCATTACTTTCTCTAAGGAGTCAGAGGAAATGCAAAAGGTGATATCAATCAGGTGGAACAAAACATAAATGGAGAGAGCTCAGAGCCTAACTCAGGAGCAGCAGCTGGACAGGCAGGGGAGGCAGGCAGAGGAGAGGGTGAGACTGCACCTTTTTAGACATTTATTGTGTTCCAGCCACTGTTCTCTCTTTAACCTCAAACATTAAAGATGAGGAAAGGAGGCTCTGATGGTGCCGCAAAATGCCCGAAGTCACATGGCTAGGAAGTGGCGAAGCCGTGGGTGCTGCGAGCATGCAACACGCCTGCATCACCTGGTACTGAGCGTGCAGTTTTCCCCAGTGACTGTCCTCCCCCCGGCTACAGCAGAGATAGGGACATGGCCTGCCCTCTGCCATTCACCCTCCCTGTTATGACAGCACTTCGGGGACAAGGCAAACAAAGGCATTAAACTTCGCAACACCCTTAAATATATGAGAGCCCAGGATTTGCAGCTGAGCCTTGGCTCTGGAAAGATCGCCCGTCACTTAAGGCAAGTTATTGGGAACAGAGTTGGGTCCATGAGAATTGCTAGGCAAAGAGGTATTAGAGTTGTTGGCACTGCCTCAGGCCTTTTTGCTGAGTGAGGACTGGGGAAGGGTGATAAGGATGTTGACCTTGTCTTCATTTATCTCCTGCTGATTCCTCAGTTCCAGGCTCAGACTTGCTATCTGTGGCATGGCGCCCATAGGGCCAGACTCTGGGTCCTCCTTGGCCAATCACCACTGTAGGTCGAAGTGATCCTGGATGAGCTCACAGACCATGTAAGCCAAGTCATCTGGCCCAGTCTAGAAATCTCACAAAGGAAAGTCACCTTCTGGTGATGAAAGATGAGAAAAGTGGTGGTTCCTTTCATTTCTAGAAAACTTTTATTTATACAGCTCATTATCTTTCTCTTAATCTTCCTCTGGTTAAGGGAATACTGGGAGTAATTCTTCCCCAGATGAAGGAAATGAGGCCCAGAAAGACATTGATTTGCCCCTGGTTGCAAAGCCGCTCCCCAGCCTCTGTTCTCTGCATCCCCAGCCAGCAGTACTAGGAGAACCGTGGGAGGAATGGTCTCTCTTGGCACAGGATACATTTCTTGGGACGAGGTAGCTTTGGCAAATAACAAGGACTCATTCGGTTTTCAGCAGGCACTGGCCTTCAGGTTTAAGTTTGTGAATGTCCGCAGAACACTCTGCTCAGAGGATGGGAAGGTGGCAGGCTCCATCCAGTTGCATATTGCTTTGTCCTTTTTAAAACACTCCTAAGTATGTGTATATTGGATTAAAATAATAACACCAGTAATAATCACTATGGGTCAGGCCTTCTGCTAACGACTTTACACATGCATGAAAGCTCAGGTCATCCTCATAAAACCCCCTGAAGGTGATACGTTATCCTTCTTCTGCAGACAAGGAAACTGTTGCTGACAGGAATATGGTTAGAAATCAAATCCCTTTCTGTTGCCACAGCTTCTGCTCTCAGTCACACCTGCCCAGGTGCTACATAGGTTGAGCAGGGATTCATATCTGCATTGGACAGACTGAGAAATAAACTCCAGTAGGTTCGATGATGGGCCCAATGTCACATAGCCAGTGGTGGGGCCAGAAGCCTGGTCTTACACAGCACCCACTCCTGTAAGTGAGCCCTGGACAGAACCCCAAGAGCCCTTCACCTTCCCTCCCCCGTTTCTCATGAGGAGCATCTCTCCCGTTGGTAGCGGCTCCACCCAACCCAAACCGCGAGGTGGCCGGGGACACCATCATCTTCCGGGACACCCAGATCAGCAGCAGGGCCGTGTACCAGTGCAACACTTCCAATGAGCATGGCTACCTGCTGGCCAACGCCTTCGTCAGCGTGCTGGGTGAGTGTCCCCTCCACTCCCCTGCAGTGCTGCCTCCCTGTGGCTTATCACATCACAGGCGACCTTTCTTCTCCGGAGATCAGCCAGGGTGGTGGAGGAAGCATGGAGACTGAAGATGAGATTTGTGAGGAGGAGGGAGGACTTAAAAGCCACAGAGCCGGGTGCGCAGACAGTGAATCCTCTACTAGAAGTCAGTCTCAGTCCCTCCTTCCCCTGATGAGACAGATGGCAGAGTGGACCTGCCTTGTCTCCTTGGTGTATCCACGCTGGCTCTCCTGGGCTCTCAGTGGGTTGCAGAGTGGGAAATGGTTCTGAGGATTTTCGCAGCAATCCCAGAGCAGGGAGAGGGTAGTGGGAGGGGCAGGTACAGAACCTGCTGGATAATCTGGGGACGCCCTTTGCCGAAGCTGGATTGGATGTAGGTAGGTTGAGGGCAGGTGGAAAAGCTTCTTCTTTTCTCACTTAACTCTTGGAGGCTTCTTAAAGGAGGAAGGTGAGCAGGGGGAGGTATGTTGGCATTTGGAAAGCCGCTGTATGGAGAAGGCACATAGAGATAAGACCCGGGGGAAGGAATGGGAGAGGTAGACTCCTCACCCAAGATCGGCTGTCTGGGAATTGCAGACGTGCCACCTCGGATGCTGTCACCCCGGAACCAGCTCATTCGAGTGATCCTATATAACCGGACACGGCTGGACTGTCCCTTCTTTGGGTCCCCCATCCCCACACTCCGATGGTAAGTTCCAGGAAACCAGACCTCCCCCACAGGGGTCATCCGGCTCACCTTTCTCATTCCCATCAGGCCCATAATAGGTATTCAGCAAGTCCTAGGCACCTGAAAGGGTCAAAGCTGGGAGAAAGTGGGCCTGTCCGCTGGGTCGACCCCTTATTGTGCAGAGAAGGAAACTGAGGCCCAGAAAAGGGCAGAGACTCCCCAGGGCCACCCAGCAGTCGGAGGAGACCCCAAAAGGATGAGGGCTTCAGATTCCCAGACGGGGTCCTTTCACTGCCCACACGGTCTCTCGAGCGGTTGACCCCCGCTCTCTTGGGCCGGTCCTGTCTCAGTATGCGATGTGTTCTGCTGCTCTGTTGTGAGGTTTAAGAATGGGCAAGGAAGCAACCTGGATGGTGGCAACTACCATGTCTATGAGAATGGCAGTCTGGAAATCAAGATGATCCGCAAAGAAGATCAAGGCATTTACACCTGTGTCGCCACCAACATCCTAGGCAAAGCTGAAAACCAGGTCCGCCTGGAGGTCAAAGGTAAGGGAGTGGGTTGGTAGGCGGAGGCTGGGGTGGGGCGGGGAAAGGAAGCTGTCTCCTCGAAGTTATCCACGTGCGTGCGTTATTCTCTTAAAGTGCACCATGCCTAATGTTCAGTCCCAAGTGGGTCCCTCCCTTTGGGTCTGTGTGTCTCCCAGGGCCTTCAGTCGGCCTGGGTGCTGGGAACACTGAGTCATTATCAGCCTGGTCCAAATGGCATGAGAAAGGGAAACCTGTACCTACACCAGCTCCCCACCACCACCCCAGAAATTCCATCATAGCTTCCCAAGCCAGATAGGATTTGGGAGTTGTTTACTATTTGGGAATCACCCACACCAGGCCTCCCCCCATTCATGTAACTGAATACTATTTCTGCCACCTTGCTTGGTCATTCTAACCTTGAGGTCAGGTATGTCACGCTATGTGTCCACATTGGGGTGGTGGGCAGAGAATGTGTCAGTGACGAGCACCCTGGGCTCCTCCACAGACCCCACCAGGATCTACCGGATGCCTGAGGACCAGGTCACCAAAAGGGGCACCACAGTGCAGTTGGAGTGTCGGGTGAAGCACGACCCCTCCCTGAAACTCACGGTCTCCTGGCTGAAGGACGACGAACCACTTTACATCGGGAGCAGGTCTCTGCTCCAGCCTTCTCTTTTCCTGGTGCTAATTTAGGGCCGTTTTCTTTTCCCTTGCTCTGGGTGACACATTGGCGTGTCACCTAGGAACTGCTGAGGAGAGCAGGATGGCCTCAGGGCCTCCCCCCCCCCAGGGGAGACCCCGCCCTGCACCCTTCTGCTCCCATCAGCTCTCTCCTCCTCTCTCCCTCTTCTTTTCTCCACGACTTTCTCTCTTCAGTTCTCTCCGCTCACTCCTTTTTTCCTCCTCCCTTTATTTTGACCCCCTCCCTTCCTCCTTTCCCTCATCACAGCCAGGAGCCCCTCCCCATCTTCAGCCCTGCCTGCAGTGCCCCCGTTGTCCAGCAGAGGCCAGGGTTGGTCCAAGCCAACCATCACCACTGTGGTTAGTGCGGTTCTCAGCCCTTTTGCACTTTGGACGCTTTTAGTAGACTCAAGCCTTCCCTCTTCCTCATCCCAGATTCGGATTTAACTGATGTGGGGAGAGCACCCAGGCACTGATAGTGTTTACGCATCCCCACAAGTGTTTCTACTGTGCATTCGGAGTCTGAGCCTCCCTCTACAGCAGGTGTCCCCAGCCCCCAGGCCATGGACTGGAACCAATCTGTGGCCTGCTAGGAACCAGGTTGCACAGCAGGAGGTGAGCAACGGGCAAGCGAGTAAAGCTTCATCCGTGTTTGCAGCTGCTCCCCAGCACTAGCACCACCGCCTCAGCTCCGCCTCGGATCATCAGGCATTAGATTCTCATAGGAGCACTGATCCCTGGTGCCGAAAAGGTTGGGAACCGCTGCTCCTCAGGGCTCTTTGCCATACTTTCTTCCACTTCAGGGGCCCTGAGGTTGGCCATAGGTACCAGCTCTTTCTTGCGAACATCTGGTTTTTTGCAGGGGTGCACCTCGCAGGCAGGTGCAAGCATCCTGGCACGCGCTTGATGCTCACTGTCCTCCTGCACTTCAGCGGCCCCTCCCTCTGTGGGAGATGGTTCAGAGGAGGCTGGGTGCCTGGCCTGAGCCCGGGTGCAGAGATCAATATGGGCTAAAGACAGAGCTGGAAGTATGGGAAGAGTAGGGACCTCCTCTGCCTTTTGGGGGGTAGGCCTAGCCATGCTCTAATTCGGAAGGGGAGCACAAGGAAGGCACAGAGAACAGTGGAATTAGAATTCCTTTTTCTCTCCATCAAGCACCCTAAGTGCTCAAAGAGATGGTGAAGATCCTGCTTTTCCCATAGCATCAAGGCGGAGCCTCATGTCCCCTCGGAGGGGCTGTGGCTGCCCAGCCCAGCCTGCGCACCTTCCCTCCACCTTTTGACTCCCCACCCTCTTCTAGGGAGAAAGCAGCGGGCAGTGCCCGGCACTCCCCCTTCGTCTTCCCACCCGCCCTCCTCCCAATCCCTCCGGTACCTTTGCAGGATGAAGAAGGAAGATGACTCCCTGACCATCTTCGGTGTGGCTGAGCGGGACCAGGGCAGTTACACATGTATCGCTAGTACTGAGCTGGACCAGGACCTGGCCAAGGCCCACCTCACTGTGCTAGGTAACTGCCGCTGCCCCTGGCACTGACCTCACCTCCCATCCCCACCCTTTCCTGCAGACAGAGAAGCTGTGGGCCCTCGCCTGAATGAGAGAGGGAAGGCGGACAGGGGTTCTTGTCATGGTCATTTTTTACCAACTTAACAGCTAACTCTAAACCACTAAGTCCATTAAAATGATCCATCATCAAAGTAAGACTGAATTTCATGTTTATCCTTACAGCACCTCCGCTAGACTTCCTCCCCCACAGCCCGCACCCCCTGCACCCCGCTCCTTGATGGGATTTCACAGAGCACTATGCACTTAGCAAGATGACCCCGCCTCATCTAGGCCGGACTATAGATACTAGGCCGTCCCAAACCCAGGGAAGGTGGCCGAGCCCGCCCCGGGAAGCAAATCCCGTGTTGTCACTCATCACCGCTCTCTGGGCGCCCCACTGCCATCGCTCTCAGTGTGCTCTTGTCCCTTCTGCAGTGGAAGTGCATGGTCACAGGACAGAGGGCCCAGGCACGATAGTAATACTGAGACAGGAAAGAGACAGGAAACACAGGAAGGCCTCTCGAGGGTGGGGCTCTCCGCGGAAGATCAGGGTGAAACCGTGCCGGGAACGTGTCACAGAGGCAGCTCTTCCCACCATGGCTGCCTGTTACCACCCTTTAAAACACCCCTAACCCAGATAACTTGCTAACCTGGATAACCCGTCTTACCTTTGCAGCTGATCAGACCACTCCAACTAACCGTTTGGCTGCCCTGCCCAAAGGTAATTCGTACTAATCGGGACCCTCGCCAAGCCCTCACTAGGCTCTGGGAGGTGGGGTCCAGGAGGAGAACACACTGCCAGACGAGATGTGCCGTGTGGGGACAGTGGGTGGCACTCCCCACTCCCGGCCTGATTAGTTCCTTCGCGTGCCCAGGGCCCCCCCTCTGAGCATCACAGCCCTGCCCCAGACTTCCTGCTCTTTTCACAAGTTGAGCATGAAAGTCCTTGGCTGCCATGTCACCATCCGTTACTCTGGCCACCTCACCACTCCCGTTATGTGGCCTGTTCTCTTCCCCAGCGTGGCCTTGGAAGTGTGTGTGGTCCAGTCGGGAGCGCCCACTTGCTTCAACTTGTCTGTAGGCCCGTGTTCCCCGCAGCCTCACCACATCTGCTGCTACACACCTATGTACAATCCGCACACACGCAAATGTGTGCTGGTGTGACTCACCTTCCAGATCCTTCCAGTAACCAGCCAAAATGTGGAAATGGTTCAAGTAGCCAGGAGGGGAAAATCATGCTGACCCCACCAGTCAGAGGTGGGATGACTTTGTCCCCAGGCCAGGATGGCACTGACCCACTAAGGAAATCCAGTGAGACGGGAGCCCCAAAAATGTGCCGCCCTCACCCCCGTTAGGAAGCCCGCTGGGGCTCCTCCCGGGCCTGGTGCACCTTGTCCCTCCTGTTCCCTGAACGTGTCTACCCTGCTCACCTTTCCAAACACCGTCCTGGGCTCCTGCCCCTCAGAGCTTTGGTGCACAGTGTGGAAGATAATCATTAGGAAATGAAGCAAAACTTCACACTTCCTCACCGGCTTTCCCAAAGGTTGCGAACATATATCTAGTGAAAAGTGTTTTCTAAGATGACATTTGGAAATGGGATGCATTAGTCTGAACTTTCTCTGTGCCCTGCACCCTTTGATACTCTTTCGGGGAGGGGACAGGTGGAACTGGGGTCGGTCACCTCCTCGTCCTTCCGCGAACCCCTGAGGGAAAGGATGACCGTCCAGGGCAGGCTGGGGACGATCCCTGCTGTGGTGACCTCCATCCATCGAGGATCTATCCATGGGACAGTGTCCAGGGCTGGGGCTAGCACAAGGCCGGGCTGGCCCTAACTCGAGAGTCCTGCGTGGTGTCTTCTCCTTCTGCTGCCAGGACGGCCAGACCGACCCCGGGACCTGGAGCTCACCGACCTGGCGGAGAGGAGTGTGCGGCTGACCTGGATCCCGGGGGACGATAACAACAGCCCCATCACAGGTCAGCCAGGGGCCCTGGGCTCTCGTCCAGAGAAGAGGGCGGAAGCAGCCAGGAGGCTGAGGGCTTGCCCTGGTTTCTGGCCCCATCCTGCCTCTCTGGGCGTGGACGCTGGGTGGTTTGCAGGACACACGGAGGCCTTGGTTTCCCTTTCAGTGCCTTGAGAGGAACTCTGCCTGCGCCTTTGTCTGCCTGAGGGGGGTTCTGAAGGCTAATGGAAACCACAAGGGAGCACTACATAAGGAGGAAGTCTGGGGACTCAGCTCCCAAACAGCTCTGTCTTCTTGCCCACTCAGATTATGTCGTCCAGTTTGAAGAAGACCAGTTCCAGCCAGGGGTCTGGCATGACCATTCCAAGTTCCCAGGCAGTGTCAACTCCGCCGTCCTCCAGCTGTCCCCATACGTCAACTACCAGTTCCGGGTCATTGCCGTCAACGAGGTCGGCAGCAGCCACCCAAGCCTCCCCTCCGAGCGCTACAGAACCAGTGGGGCACGTGAGTACTTGCGGGCTGACGGGAAAGGCTCTGGAACCAGGCACCCTGAATTCAAACTGAGGTCCCCCAGCCCTCGGCCACACAAATTTGGGCAACTTAACGTAACCTCTCCAAGGCTTGGCTTCCTCATCTCTGAAACACAGAATAATAAGGACACCTGCCAGCACAGGGCTATTGTGAGGATTACACTTGAAAATGCAGTTTGGGTACTTACCACGACGGGAAAGGCTCTGGAACCAGGCACCCTGAATTCAAACTGAGGTCCCCCAGCCCTCGGCCACACAAATTTGGGCAACTTAACGTAACCTCTCCAAGGCTTGGCTTCCTCATCTCTGAAACACAGAATAATAAGGACACCTGCCAGCACAGGGCTATTGTGAGGATTACACTTGAAAATGCAGTTTGGGTACATGATGCCTAGCATATAGTAAGCACTCAATAATGTTAACTGTCATTTGTGGCATATTAATATTATTAATTTTTTTCTATTAATAATTCTTGATGATGTGCTTTAAAGGATTTACAGTAGAAGTATATAATCTGCTGTTCTATCAGATTTCTTTTCCTGGGTCATATTTAGATTTATGAAATTACACCAGCTCGTTGACATCTCCCCAGATTTTTTAAATGCTAAGGATAAACCAACCTGGTATTAAACGTATTTAGGGGGAACCCACAGAGGGATAATCCACACTGAGCTGGCTGCATGACCATCTAAAGTTTGCAAAGCCTCATCATAAATCCTGTCTAGTAAGACATTAAAATTCAAAAAGAAATGAGCTCCGCATCTGGGGCCAGGGTTAAATCTTAGCCAGGGAGGCACGTCACACGCATGAGAAATGACAGAGTGGGTTTAATCACCTGTGGGACAGAGTGTAGAGAGATGCTGTGGAAAAGAACAGAAGGGACCAGTCTGGTGGGAGGGACAGAGGTTGCTCTCCATGTCCTGGCAAAGCGCAAACTGACACAAATTGAACTTTGTGTCAATTTGGGTTCCAGCCCCGGAGTCCAATCCCAGCGATGTGAAGGGAGAGGGGACCAGAAAGAACAACATGGAGATCACATGGACGGTAAGAGCCCCGCCCACCCCTCGAGGGGCTGCCGCGTGCAGCAGGGAGCCCCCGCCTTCTGCACCTGAGGCCACAGGATGGCTCAGACTATCAGACTGGTTCGCTGCCCACTCCTCTCTGCGGTGGGCACCCAGAAACCAAACAGGAGCGAGATTTAAGACAGAGAGGAGCAGAGGGGACTGAGGAACACAGACTAGCAGTCCGGCCAAAATCATAGAGAACCAGCAAAATTAAATGGACTTCTTTAGAAGAAGGAGGGATTGAGGTTAGACACCTGTCCTCACTGTTCTGGGTTTGTTCACTGGCGGTTGTTGGGAGTGAGGGGAGGCCAGCAGCTGCGACGTTTTCAGGGTAGACCTTCTTTTAATCATCGATAACCCCAGAAAAATCCTATCTCCATCTCGGTTCACTGACTGCATCTTTCAAATCAAAATTGGATATGTCACTTTAAAATGATTTTTTTTCAAACCACATCCAAATCTGAGAGATGGAAATTCAGCCACTGACATGGTAATACTTCTGCACTGTTGTCACGAGTCCTGGAAACGGGGGGCGTGGTGTTTGGACTTCAGGCCACCCCCATCCTGCTGAGGGCCTGGTCTCACAGCAGCCTCGGCAGCTGGGCCGAGCCCAGATACCAGACACCGGCTCGTCTCCAGGACCATGCACGGCACGGTCTGTCCATGGTCTACATGCTGTCCTGCGGGCTTCCTGGACGGGGTCCTGAGGGAGCAAAGAACAGGGCTCGCCCACTCTTAGAGAGTTCTGACCTGTTGGGAAGGACAGAACAGACATGCATGGATTTGGGAGAACTGAGGTCGGTTCTGGGATTTGGGGATCATTGGCAGAAGGCACGCAGTGGCTAAACCAGAACTCATGCTTTTCCAACTTTGGAGAATATTATCAACCATATTTTTTTCTTGTTGCTCTGTCATAGGAAAGAGCCCTGTCAAAAATAAAGCTTTCGCTTCCTATGCACCTGCAAATGTAGGAGTCACAGTGACTAGGTCTTGGGTGACCCCCCTGTCACAGAAAATCTGTGTGCTGCTAGGTCTATAGAACTGGGCTCTTGGGAGACTCAGCAGGGGAGAGGGCCTGGCCCCTGCTGGGCGGTCTGGGGAGGGGTGCCTGGCGTAGAGAGAGTGTGAGCTATGCGTGGGTCCGGCCCCCAGCCCACCCCCCTCCACTCTTGCCCTCTGTCTCTCCTTGCTCAGCCCATGAATGCCACATCCGCCTTTGGCCCCAACCTAAGATACATCGTCAAGTGGCGGCGGAGAGAGACTCGAGAGACCTGGAACAATGTCACAGTGTGGGGCTCCCGCTATGTCGTGGGGCAGACTCCTGTCTACGTGCCCTATGAGATCCGAGTCCAGGCTGAAAATGACTTTGGGAAGGGCCCTGAACCAGACACTGTCATCGGTTACTCCGGAGAAGATTGTGAGTAGCTTCCCCCTGCCCTCTACCCAGGACCCTCCTGTCTGGGCTGCATGAGGCCACTCTCACAGACCGGGAACCTTGGGGTGGGTTGTGGGACTTCCAAGAACATCCTGGGAGGACAGCCGGTCACCAGGAAAAAGAAGCTCCCTACAGTGACCTAGAGAATGGCAGGCCCCTGGTAATGTCGGGAGTGGAAATATCAGAACACTAGTTAAAATTACTGAACGTCATCACTAGTCTCATCTCGTGGAGCTGAAAACTGAGGCCTTATAAGGAAAATCCTTGCCAATATTACACAATAGCAAAAGTCAGGCTTGAAAATAGAGCCCAGGCCTTCCGATCAATCCTTGCTAGCACAAAGAAAGACTTGAGCTGTCCATCCCAAAGAGTCATAATTAGACTCCTCCACAGGAAACAGGGCCACAGGCCAGACTCCTCCTCAGGCTCCCCAAAGGAAGCCTTGAGGATGGAGAAGGTCTGCAGAGCCCCAGACTGGAAGCACGCAGACCGGCCACCTGCCAGCATTCCCAGTGACGCTCTCGGTCCTTGGAATTGAGCATACGAAGAAGAGTTCTTTGGAGGCTTGCGCTGGACATATATGTGGAAGTATGTGCCTGGCTTCCCAGATGACGGTGGCCTCTTTGTCCCCAGCACATCCATCCAGTAGGCTGTGAGCAAAGAAGGAGTCGGGGGAGCTCCTCTTGGCCAGGGCAGTCTGAACCCCAGTGGGTCTGAGTCTGAGCTGAAAAGAGATCACGGAGTGACCAAAAGGAAGGGGGACGGGGAGAGTGTGGGAGAGGTGTGGAGTCGTAGGAGCGATGCTGGCGAGGCCAGGGCCAGCGGGGTTTGCAATGGCGAGATGGGATACGTGAGGGCCAGGCCCTGTGCCCTGCTTCCCTGGACGTGGTGATGGATTGGACCCACTCATGAGATAAGCAGAAGGGGTCAGCGGTTCCTCTGTCCCTGCCACCCCTCATCTCCATGGTAGCGGACACCTCTGGACAGGAGACTAGTGGGAACTACTGAATGGTAAGTATGGAATGGGCGGGTCCAGTCATGACCTTCATGGACCACTCCACAGTGTCCCCTGCATCCATCTACTCCTGTGGCCTGTGCTCTGATGAAGTGAGGAGGATGGGGCAGAACTGTTTCTACAGCAGAGGAGAGAAAGCAGGGCAAGAATCAATGATGGAGGAGGGAGTAGCCCTCTCTTTCCAGAAATCATGGATAAGGCATCGTCAGTCTGTGGGTAACATTTCCTGCATGGTCATGACAGGAAACAAATGCCCTCAAAGGCAACTATTTCTGATGTGAGGACAGGGTTAGAGAAGAATCAGCAAGGTATGGTGAACCATCTGGAAGAGAGCCACAGCAGGATGCCAGTATATCACTCTGAGCCTTAAAGGGGCAGGGGACGGGTGAGCCACCACAGCCAGTGAGGGCTATCCACAAGAGCTATGGCCTTGGGTGGAAGAATGCAATGCTGTCAACCCTCCACCTCCACCCCACAGAGAGGCAGCTGGGGGAATAGCTACCCACCCTCCCTCTCCTCCTGCCCCAGGGTCTCGTATTGGCCCCTCCTTTTGAGCAAACCCATCCAGACACCTGAGAATGAAGGAGCCCAGCTAACACGGTCCTGAAGGAGCAGCCTCCCAGGAAGTGCAGCAGGGTGGGGCGTGACGGAGAATGGAGGGGAGGGATAAGCAGACTACCCAGCTCATGAGAGTAGCAAATAATCGCCTTCTAAACGCGTAAGCAGCCCTCTCCCACCTGGAATCCCACTCTCGTCCTGAGCCTTCCCCGCTTCCTCCAAGTACAGTCTGATGGAGGAGACATAGCCTCTGCCCTCATAAGGTACCCAGAGTAGGGTGGAGGTACGAGCAGCAAAGAACAAGTTCAAGGGGAACCTGGGGTCCAGGGGCCAGCCCTGCCAGCATAACCCACTCTCTTGTCCCTACACATTGCAGATCCCAGGGCTGCACCCACTGACGTTAAAATCCGAGTCCTGAACAGCACAGCCATCAGCCTTCAGTGGAACCGTGTCTACCCTGACACGGTCCAGGGCCAGCTCAGAGAGTACCGAGTGAGGAAGCCAGCTCCTGGCCCCACCTAACCAACCACCCAGCTCACTAACCAGGGCAAGGCGGTAGCAGATGCAGGCCACGGGATATTTGGAAGGGGTCTTAGGGGTAGCTGTTGGATCCAGAGTTGATTCAAGATGATCTAGTGTTAACTGCTCAAAATTATTCTCTCTCTTTCTCATTCTCTTCATCTCTGTCTCTCTGTCTCTGTCTCTGTCTCTCTCTACACATACACACGCACACACGCATAGACGTGTTCCGCAATAGAAATGCTAAGAAATTCTGCTCAGCAGAAAATCACGTGAAAGGCGGTGGGTTTGGGTGGATGTCGCATAGCATGCCTTGTTTGTGATGCATGTGTGAGTGAATACATGTGCATCTTCAGGGGCTCTGTTGAAGCACCGCTGAGCTACACCCCTCCCTCTCCTAACGGCCCCCGCTCAGCTGCTTGCCTCACCTAGTCTGATTTCATGAAGCCCCAGCTAACAGGTGGAGCCACCGAAAGGATGCAGAGGCCTTCTCCATTGTCACAGCCAACTCCAGGTGATCCGGCATACGGATTTGCAAGGCCCTTGGCTTCTCCTGGTCTTCCCTGCCTGTGAGCAGTTTCTGCTCCACCTTCTCTCCCCTGAAAGACTGAGCTGAGATGGGGAAAAGGCAGAAAGCCCAGGGCATGCAAGGCTCTCCCTATAAGTAGCTCTATTTAAAAGTTGCCTGGCAAGTGAACAGTGGTTCACATGGGGTAACAGCGATTCTGGGACCTCAGAGGTCGAGAGTTGGCTGATGGATAATAAGGGGCAGAATGGCGGGGGTAAGGGGGATCATCAGTCTCTCAGAAAATGAATTTAGTAAGAGGGGCAAGGCAGGCAAGATGATGTGGACACTTGAATGAGCTCTTTCTTAATGGTTGACTTGCACCCTTAACCTACTTGCCTGGAGATTTTTTCTGGCTAAAGATCCCATCGGGTCCCCCTCTTAAGTCTGAACTTCCTCTTTACCTTGCCATCGGAGGCCTGGGTGACACTGGCGTGACCTGGCAGCCTGAGCTGGAGCTTCTTAACCCACTGCTAATCAGACCTCGTGTCACAAACTCGACCGTACCAGTGACTCTGCCGCCTTCCATAGGCCGCCATCCCAAGCTCTTGCCACCAGGCAGGCTAGCATCACACTGACTTGGACGTGTGTCTGTCCCATTCTAAAGGTCTTCAATATTAAAAGAAACCATTTGATTCGAAAGGATTAAATCAACCCTTTCTCATCTTCAGACTTCTGGAGGTAACCCACTACTTTTCAACTCCCGTCTGTCGCCAATCTTAAACCATACTAATCTAACTCAAAGGGATGTGGTCCTTGAGCACAGGACAGTGCTCTCCACTGCCGGACCCTTGGCTGGTATTTGTGGTTTGGGCACAGGCTCCCTGAGCGGCTTGGTGGAGCCTCTCAGCTCCAAGTCTAGCCAACCTGCCTATCCTCCAGAGAGGTGACATGGCTCAGAAAATGACTGGAACCAAAAACTCTACTTCTTGTTTGATACTCACTAGTGGCTAATGAATGAGGACTGTAAGGCCACCCCGCCAGCCCCATGTGGGACTGACTTCATCATCTGGGATTTGGAGCCTGTGGCAAGCGATGGGAAGACCGGTCACTACCACCAGCACTAACAACTAACCCGGCTCGGCCTGACTGTCCCCTCACCGGCCTGCCTCTGTCCCGAAGGCCTACTACTGGAGGGAGAGCAGCTTGCTGAAGAACCTGTGGGTGTCTCAGAAGAGGCAGCAAGCCAGCTTCCCTGGCGACCGCCTCCGTGGTGGTGTCCCGTTTTTTCAACTACAAGCTGGAGATGGTTGTGGTCAATGGGAGAGGTGATGGGCCTCGCAGTGAAACCAAGGAGTTCACCACCCCAGAAGGAGGTAGGTCTGGCCCGCAGCTCTTTGGGGTGGGGCAGGATGAGGGTGGCGCACTCAGGTGGGCCTGGAGCAGCTCCGGCGTGGCTTGGCACGGACAGCACAAGTTGACCTCTGCATGACCCAAAGGAGCTGATGACCTGCGAGCTGAGCGGTTCTCGCCATTCCCACACCGCGCTCCGTCACCGGGGTGGCCCGCTCTGACAGGAGGTTGAACCTCAACAGAAGACCCGTGCGGTCAGATGGCACGACTCCAGACGGGCTATGCAGACTGACCCCCAGGGCACCGCGGGAGCCTGGGCTGCCCGTCACCTCCTGAGGCTGAAGCACAGTCACCCTGACCGCCCAGAGGCATCTGGCCTATTTACCAGCACCCAGAACCCACGGAGCTCTCCGAACACTGCAGTCGAGAAGCTTTCACTAAGATCGTCGGCCCATGGAGCAGTGGCCCTGCGGAGGGCGCCGGCCTTCGGCAGGTTCATGGGCGCCCTGATTGGGAGGCAGACGTCTGCGCCGTCCCAGTCCATCTCCTGTTCTCTCTCATCCGCGTGCACCTGCTTCGCCCACTTCTCTTTCTCCTCCCTCCCTTCTTAACTGTTACTTTCTCCATTTTTCTTTTTCTCTTCCTCCTCTCTCTGCTTCGTTCTTCCCTTTACTGCTCTCTTT